CGGCGCAGGCCGTCGTCCATGCGCGCGGGCTGGCTGCGGCTGATCGGGCCGAGCTCGACCGCGACCCGCCGCTGTGCGCCGACCTGCGCGGCCAGCGCCGTCAGGCGCGCGGGCAGCTCGTCCAGCAGCGCCGCCTCGCTGCTGCGCAGATCCAGACAGAAGTTCACCTCGCCCGGCACCTTGGAAAAGGCGTGGCGCGCCGGCTCGGTGCCGAAGATGCCGAAGGTGGCGACCAGGTCGCGCGCGGCCGCCTCGGCCTCGTCCCACAGCCGCTCGACGCCGCTCATGACCTCCGCCAGGGCGAGGCCGGCGTCCTGGCGCAGGGCGCGCGGCGTGGCGCCGGAGTGGGACCAGGCGCCGGTGATCCGGGCCTCGCGGAAGCGCAGGCCGCCGCGGATGCCGGTCACCAGGCCGAGCGGGAGACCGCGCTGCTGCAGCACCGGCCCCTGCTCGATATGCACCTCCAGGTAGGCGCCGACGCGCTCGGGCGACAGCGCGGCGCGGCCGTGGCGGATCGCTTCCGGGTCGAAGCCCGCCGCGCGCAGGTGTTGCTCGAGCGTCTGCCCGGTGTCGCTGCGCCGCGCCGCCAGCGCCGCCGGCTCCAGGCGTCCGAGCGCCCCGCGCGAGCCGAGGTAGGAGACGGGGAACCAGACGCTCTCCTCCGCGCGCACCGCCATGACCGTGAGGTCGACCGGCGGGCGCGCGTCCTCCGCGCGCAGCGCCGCCGCCAGGGCGAGGCCGGCGACCACCCCGGCCGCGCCGTCGTAGGCGCCGCCGCCGGGCACGCTGTCCAGGTGCGAGCCGATCACGATGCCGGGGCGCGCGCGGTCGCGGCCGGGCAGGGTCATGTAGAGGTTGCCGATCGCATCGGCGGCGACCTCCAGGTCGAGAGCCGCCGCCTCGCGCGCCATCAGGTCGTGGGCGGCCTGCTCCTCGGCGCTGTAGGCCGGCCGCGTGACGCCCTCGCCGGGCCGGCTGATCGGCGCCAGCGCGGCGAAGAGGCGGTCGATGGTCTGGCCGATCGCGCTCATGCGCCGGCGCTCCCGGCGCGCGCGGCGCCATCCAGGCAGGCGGCATTCACAATGCTGTCGGGATGCTGGCCGGCGAGGGCCTGGAGGACGCAGTCGGCCGCGGCCAGGGCGGTGCGTGCCAGGCTCTCCTCGGTCGAGCCGCCGAGGTGGGGCGTGAGGATCACGTCGGGATGGTCGCGCAAGGGGCTGTCCGGCGCCAACACGTCGAGGCCGGCGGCCGCCACGCGGCCGGCATCGAGCGCGGCGAGGAGGGCCGGCTCGTCGATCAGGCCGGCGCGCGCGGTGTTGACCAGCAGCACGTCCTGCGGAAGCCGGGCGAAGGCCGCGGCGTCGAGCAGGCCGCGGGTCTCGTCCGTCAGCGGGGCGTGCAGGCAGACCAGGTCGGCGGCGGCCAGCCCCGCGTGCAAATCCGCCGCGCGGCGGTAGCCGAGCCGGCTCAGCTCGGCGGTGTCGACGCGCGGGGCGCAGACCAGGATGTCGAGACCGAAGCCCTGAGCGAGGATCCGCGCGCTGCGCCGCCCGATGGCGCCGAAGCCGACGATCAGCGCGCGGCGGCCGGCCAGCTCGAAGAAACGGTGGCGCTCGCGAAACGACCCGTCGCCCGCGCGCAGCGCCCGCTCGGCCGCCGGCAGGCGGCGGGCCGCGGCCAGGGCGAGAGCGACGGTCAGCTCGGCCACCGACTGGGCGTTGGTGCCCGGCGTGTTGGCCACGGGAATACCCCGCTGGGCCGCGGCGGCCACGGCGATGGCGTCGATGCCGGCGCCGTGGGAGACGATGACGCGAAGCTGCGGCGCGGCGGCGATGGCCTCGGCCGGCAGGCCGGCGTCGCGGGTGATCACCGCCGTGCAGTCGGCCAGGGCCGCGGCCAGGTCGGCCGGCCGGGTCGAGGCCGGCGTGCACAGCTCGACGCCGGCGGCCATCAGCCGGTCCCGCCCCGCCGGGTGAATGGGTTGGACCAGCAGGCAGCGCATCCCTCGCGTCGCTCCCTAGAGCCGCAGGGAGAAGTCGAAGCCGAGCGCGTCGAGGTCGCGGTCGAGGCGCCGCACCGCCTCGGCGTCGGCGGCGCGCAGGGGCGGCCGGACCCGCGCCCAGGCCGGGTCGCCCGACTTCAGCGCGAGGTAGGCCTTGATCGTCGGGATCAGCGCGCCGGCGTCCTGCACCCTGCGGCGGACCTGGCTGGCCCGCTCCTGCAGGGCCTCGGCCTCGGCGTCGCCGCGCGCGGCGGCCTGGAACACCGCGTCGATCCCGGCCGGATTGAGGTTGCCGGTCGCGGTGATGCACCCGGCGCCGCCGGCGCGCAGACCCTGCAGCAGGAAGACCTCGGAGCCGGGGAAGACGTCGAAGTCGGTGAAGCCCTCGAGCAGCGCCTGGGTGTTGCTCCAGTCGCCCGAGGAGTCCTTGAGGCCGGCGATGCGCGGCCCGAAGGCCTCGCGCAGCCGGGCGATCAGCGGCGCCGACCAGCCGACCTGGGCGACCGGCGGGATGTGGTAGAGGTAGAGCGCGGTCTCGGCCCCCTCGGTGCGGCGCAGCACCTCGGCGGTGAAGTCGAACAGGCCCGCGTCGCTGGCCGCCGCGCCCTTGTAGTAGAAGGGCGGCAGCATCAGCGCGCCGGCGCAGCCCAGCTCGGCCGCCTGGGTCAGCAGCTCCACCGTCTCCATGAAGGAGCAGGCGCCGATCCCCGGCATCAGGCGCGCCCCCGGCACCCCGGCGGCGACCAGCTCCTGCAGCAGCGCCTTGCGCTCGCCGGCGGTCAGCGAGTTCGCCTCGCTGGTGGTGCCGAAGACGGCCAAGCCGGCCGCCCCCGCGTCGAGCAGCGCCTGGCAGAGTGCGACGAAGCGCTTGCTGTCGGGCGCCAGGTCGGCATCGAACGGCGTGACGACCGGGACGAGAACGCCTTTGAAGGGACCGGTCATGGCTGGGACCTCCGGGTGGGGCGGGAAACGGGCCGGGCCGCGCCGTGGCAGGGCGGGCGGCCCGGATGGGCGGCCGGGGTGGGCGGCTAGAGCGTTCCGGGGAAGGCGCCGCCGTCGAGCAGCAGGTTCTGGCCGGTGATGTAGCCGGCCTGGGCGCTGCACAGGAAGGCGCAGGCGGCCCCGAACTCCGCCGGGTCGCCGAAGCGCTGGCTGGGATTGCCGCTGCGGCGGCGTTCGCGCGCCTCCTCGACGGTGATGCCGGCGGCCTTGGCCGCGCCGGCCAGGGTCTTCTCCAGGCGGGCCGTCTCGAAGGGGCCGGGCAGCAGGTTGTTGATTGTCACGTTGTGCCGCGCGACCTGGCGCGCCAGGCCGGCGACGAAGCCGGTCAGGCCGGTGCGCGCGCCGTTGGACAGGCCGAGGGCCGCGATCGGCGCCTTCACCGCGCCCGAGGTGATGTTGACGATCCGCCCGAAGCGGCGCTCGATCATGCCGTCGACCACGCCGCGGATCAGCAGGATCGGCGCGATCATGTTGGCGTCCAGCGCGGCGATCCAGTCGTCGCGCTCCCAGTCGCGGAAGTCGCCGGGCGGCGGGCCGCCGGCGTTGGTGACCAGGATGTCCGGGTCCGGACAGGCCTCCAGCAGGGCGGCCTGTCCCGCGCGGCTGGTGACGTCCACGGCCAGCTCGGTGACCGGCACCGCGTAGGTCTGGCGCAGGTGCTCGGCGGTTTCGCGCAGCGGGCCTTCGCGGCGGGCCGCCAGGGTCAGGGCGACGCCTTCGGCGGCCAGGCTTTCGGCGCAGGCGCGCCCGAGCCCGGCGCTGGAGGCGCAGACCAGGGCGCGACGTTGGGACAGACCGAGATCCATGTTCGAAATCCCCTTGGACGGAGGGCGGGAAGAAAGGCTCAGGCGGCGCCGCGGTCGCCCAGCAGCTCGGGACGGGCGGCGAGATGGCGCTCCAGGCGGGTCATGAGGGTGGTCAGCTCGGCCTGCTCGTCGGCGTCGAGCCGCGGGCCGGGCTGGCGGGTCGCCGCGCAGCGGATGGCGCCGCGCCGGCGCAGCACCTCCTTGCGGATCGCCAGGCCGGGGCCCTGCTGGAACTCGTAGCGCAGCAGCGGCAGGTGGAGGTCGAAGAGGTCCTCCGCCGCTTCCGCCTCGCCCCGCTCGAACAGCTCGTAGACGCGCACCAGCATCTCCGGATAGGCGAAGCCGGTCATCACCCCGTCGGCGCCGCGCCGCATCTCCAGCGGATAGAACAGGCCGCCGTTGGCGACCAGGATCGAGATCCGGCGCGTCTCGCCCCGCTCGGCCGCGCGGCGCACCGCGGTCAGCTTGCGCAGGCCCGGATAGTCCTCGTGCTTGAGCATCACCAGGCTGGCATGGCGCGCGATCATCGCGTTGAGGGTGTCGACCGAGACATGCACGCCGGTGACAGTGGGAAAGTCCTGAAAGCAGACCGGCACGTCCGGGCCGAGCGCGGCGAAGACCGCGTCGAAGTAGGCCAGGACCTGGGTTTCCGTCTTGAGCTGCGGCGGCGGGGCGATCATCACGCCGGCCGCGCCGGCCTCGCAGCTCCGCTTGGACAGCCGCTCCAGGTTGTCGAGGCCCGGATTGCTGGTGCCGACGATCACCGGGACCCGGCCGTCGACACGCTTGAGCACCCGCGCCACGAAGGTCTCCGTCTCCTGCTCGCTCAGCTTCTGGGCCTCGCCCATCATGCCGAGGATGGTCAGCCCGTGCACGCCCCTGTCGAGGTAGAAGTCGACGAGACTGTCGGTCGAATCCAGGTCGAGGTTGCCCGCCTCGTCGAAGGGCGTGGCGGCGATGACATAGGCGCCTCGGCTGTCTTCGTTGATCACGTCTCGTCTCCGTCCTAGGGGCCGGCGGCGCGGCGCGCGCGTCGCCTTCAGTATTGCGCCAGCTTCTCCAGAATGGCGCTGCGGGCGTTGCGGATGTGCGCCTGCATGGCGGCGACCGCGGCCTCGGCGTCGCGCCTGTGCATGGCGTTCAGAATCACCAGGTGCTCCTCGCAGCCGGGGCGGAAGCGGTCCGGCAGCCGCTCCATGTCGAAGATGCGCGTGCGCAGGCGCAGATCGGCGATGTAGCGGGCGAGGATCGTGTTGCCGGCCGCCTTGGCCGGCAGGTCGTGCAGCGCGTCGTCGACCGCCCAATGCTCCTGGGGCGGCGGCGCCGGATCGGTCGTCAGCCCGCGCACCTGCGCCTGCAGGCGCTCGACCTCGGCGAGGTCGACGCTCGGCGTCGCCAGGCGCACCGCGAAGCCCTCGAGCTGCTCGCGCACGGCGAAGATTTCCATCATTTCGCGGGTGGTGATCTCGTGCACGATCAGGGCCTTGCCCTGCCGCCGCACCACCCCCTCGACCTCGAGGTGGTTCAGCGCCTCGCGTACCGGCGTGCGCGACATCTCCAGCCAGTCGGCCAGGCGGCGCTCCTGCAGCGGCTCGCCGGCGCGGACCTGGCGCGAGAGCACCAGGTCGAGGATGCGCGAGCGGGCGGTCTCGGCCAGGCTGCCGCGCCCGGGCGTGGTCCAGCCCGGCCCGGCCGCCGTCCCGGCCGGCCCGTCGAGGGCCGCCGCTCCGTTCTGATCGCGCGTTGCCACGTCTTCAATCTTTCGTTTCACCATTGAGCGGCATCCCCATGGTATACCAATGACACACCGAGTCAAGAAGAGGCCCGCGCCCCTTCGCCTCGGGCAGGCGTCGGCCGCCGGGCGCGGCGGGCCGGCCCGGCGACGAGACGCCATTGTGGAAGGAGAGCGCCGTCAGGCAAACCCATCGACCGCCGCGTCGCGGCCTTGCGGGCGCGCCCGCAAGGCGGCTCAGGCCGGCTCCGGGCCGACGACGCCGTCGATGAGATTGACCGACAGCAGATGCTCGGAGGAGTAGAGGTCGACCGGCGCGGCGGCCGCCGCCGCCTCCAGCCGCGCGGCGGCCTCGGCCGCCGCGACCGCCGCCCGCTCGGCCTGTGCGACGGTGACGCTGCGAAAGCGCAGCGCCGTGCCCGGCGGGGCCTGCACCAGCGTGACGAGGTCGGCCCCGATCACCGTGGCGATCTTCGGATAGCCGCCGGTCGGCTGCCGGTCGGCCAGCAGGATCATCGGCAGGCCGGCGCCGGGCACCTGGATGGAGCCGAAGACGATGCCGTCGGAGACGATGTTGTAGCCGTCCCGGTGGGCCAGCGGCTTGCCCTCCAGCACCATGCCCATCCGGTCGCGCGTGCCGGTGACCCGGTAGGGCGTGCTCAGGAAGTCCTGCCAGGCCGCCGCGGTGAACAGCTCGTCCTGCGGGCCGGGGACGACGCGCAGGGCCGTCTCCGCCGGGCCGAGACGCGGCGGCGGATGCAGTAGGCGCCGCCCGGCGGTGACGGCGGCGGGGGCCGCGGCGAGGGGCAGCGCGTCGCCCGCCGTCAGGGCGCGGCCGCCGTGACCGCCGAGGCCGGAGCGGCTGTGGGTCGAGCGGCTGTCGAAGAAGACCTCGGCCTCGAAGCCGCCGGCCACGGCCAGGTAGCCGTAGACCGCGTCGCGCAGGCTGCCGATCTCCAGCAGGGCGCCGTCGCGCAGCAGGAAGCTGCTCCAGGGCCGCTGCGGCTCGCCGTCGGCCAGGATCTCGACGTCGCCGCCGGTCACCGCCACCAGGCAGTCGCCCTCCGCCCGGTAGCGGCCGCCGCGGAAGGCGACCTCCAGGCTCGCCGCCTCCGGCGGATTGCCGACCAGGCGATTGGCCAGGCGGTGGGACAGGCGGTCCATCGCGCCCGACCCGGAGATGCCCAGGCGCAGCACGCCGATCCGCCCGAGGTCCTGCAGCGTGTCGCTCAGCCCCGGCGCTTCGACCAGCAGGCGGCTCATGCGCGTGGCTCCGGTTCGGCGACCACCTCGCCGGCCTCGGCCAGCGCGTCCAGGCGCGCGGCTTCGCCTTCGCCGATCCGCACGAAGCGGATGCGGTCGCCGGCGGCCAGCAGGCAGGGCGCGGCGCGGCGCGGGTCGAAGGTCCGCAGCGGCGTGCGGGCGATGAAGCGCCAGCCGCTGGGCGAGGCGACCGAGTTGATCGAGGCCTGCTGGCCGCCGATCGCCAGGCCGCCGGCGGCGGTCAACTGCCGCGGCGTTTGCAGGCGCGGGGTGTGCAGCCGGCTGTCGAGGCCGCCGAGGTAGGCGTAGCCGGGCATGAAGCCGATCATGTAGACCCGATACTCGCCGGCCAGATGCAGGGCGATCACCTCCTCGCTGGTCAGGCCGTGGTAGGCGGCCACGGCGTCGAGATCCTGCCCGGCCGCGCCGCCGTAGACCGCCGGGACGTGCCACAGCCGCCCCTCCGCCGGGTCGGCCTCCAGGGTCTCCAGGTGGGTCTGCAAGGTCTCGATCAGGCGCGCCGCCGAGGTCTGCAGCGGATCGTAGCGCACCATCAGCGAGCGGTAGGTCGGCAGGGTCTCGACGACGCCCGCGACCGGCTGCGCCGCCAGGCGACCGTCGAGCGCGATGACCCGGGCGTTGGCCGCCGGGTCGATGGTCTCGGCGAACTCGACGATCACCGCCTGGTCGGCGGCGCAGCGAAAGCGCGGGAAGGACGGGACTTGCGGCTCCATGGCGGGTCGGCGGCGGCGGTCCTAGAGGGTGCCCGGCAGGAAGGTGACGATACCGGGAAACACGGCGACGAGCAGGGTGAAGAAGAAGAGGATCAGGAAAAAGGGCAGCGTCGCCCGGGCGATATAGCCGAGGCGGTCGCCCGTGAGCCCCTGTATGACGAAGAGGTTGAAGCCGACCGGCGGCGTGATCTGCGCCAGCTCGACCACCAGCACGATGAAGACGCCGAACCAGACCTTGTCGTAGCCGGCCTCCAGCACCAGCGGCAGGGTGATCGGCAGGGTCATCACGATCGCCGACATGCCCTCCATCAGGCAGCCGATCAGCACGTAGAAGATCAGCAGCACCAGGATCAGCGCCAGCGGCGAGAGGTCGAGCGCGCGGATCTGCTCGGCCACGAAGCGCGGGATGCCGAGGTAGCCGAGCGCCGTCGAGAGGAAGACCGCGCCGGCGATGATCAGCCCGATCATGCTGGAGGTGCGGGCGGCGCGGATCAGCGCCTCCCAGCCGTTGGCGCGCGTCAACGAGCCCTGCAGCAGACCGACGATCACCGCGCCCAGCACGCCGACCGCCGCCGCCTCGGTCGGGCTGGCGATGCCGGCGTACATCGAGCCGATGACACAGAGGATCAGCAGGCCGACCGGCAGCAGGTGGCGCGTCGCCGCCAGGCGCGCGCGCAGGCTGAGCGGCGGCAGCGGATCGCCCAGCTTGGTCTTGTCCAGGCTGGTCACCACGGCCAGGTAGCCCATGAAGGTCAGGGCCAGCAGCGCGCCGGGGATGATGCCGGCGATGAACAGCTTGAGAATCGATTCCTGAGCCAGCACCCCGTAGATGATCATGATCACGCTGGGCGGGATCAGGAAGCCCAGGGTGCCGGCGCCGGCCAGCGAGCCCAGCACCAGGCGCCGGTCGTAACCGCGGGTCAGCAGCTCGCCGGAGGCGATGCGCCCGACGGTCGCCGTGGTCGCGGCGGACGAGCCGGACACCGCGGCGAACAGGGTGCAGGACAGCACGGTGACGTGGGTCATGCGCCCGGGGATCCGCTGGGTCCAGGGCGCCAGGCCGGAGAAGAGCGCCTCCGACAGGCGGGTGCGGAACAGGATCTCGGCCATCAGGATGAACAGCGGCAGCGCCAGCAGCTCCATGCTGGTGGCGGTGTTCCAGACCTGCTGGGCCAGCAGCTTGGCGGCCGGCATCATCGGCTTGAAGACGGCCAGGGCGCCCAGGCCGGTGCCCATCAGCCCGAGGCCGACCCAGACCCCCATGCCGAGCAGCAGGACCAGCAGGGCGACCAAAAGCGCGGAGAGCTGAAGCATCAGGGCGTGTCCGTCTCGTTGCGCGGCGCGGCCGGGTCGCCGTCCTGTGCGCCGGCCTCCGGGCGGCCGACGTCGCCCAGGCCGAACAGCAGCCGGATCAGGCGGGCGACGAGCTGAAGCGCGAAGACCAGGGCGCCGAGCAGCAGGGCGGCTTGCGGCAGCCACAGGGGAGTCGCGACGACCGAGAAGGAGCGGGCGCCGCGCTGCCAGGATTCCAGGGCCTTCTCGCCCAGTGCGTAGGCGAGGTAGGCGACGATCGCCAGGCCGAGCAGCGTCGCCAGCGTCTCCGCGCCGCGGCGCAGGCGCCGCGAGCTGGCCTCGGAGATTAGCGTCACCCGCACGTGCACGTCATGGCGCAGCGCGCTGGCGGCGGCGAAGAAGAAGACCAGGCCCATCAGGTAGGCGGCGTATTCCCAGGAGATCACCAGGCTGGTGGTGAAGAGGTTGCGCGCGGCGATCTCGGCCAGGATCAGCAGGCAGAGCAGGGCCAGCGCCACGGCGGCCAGGGCGGCGGCCGCTTCCGCCAGCCAGTCGGTTGCGCCGAGGAAGCGCTGCAGCAAGGCGGGGCGCGGGGCGGGGGCGGATGCTCGGGGCATGTCGACTCCTCTGCGGGCGCAGCGGCGGCGGGCGCCCGCCGCCGCGGTCCGATCCGAAGGGAAGGCCGCCCTACGGACCGGCGCGGACGGCGGGCGTCGGCCGGGCGGCTACTCGCGCGCCGTCAGGTAGTCGTCGATCACCGCTTCTGCCTCCGGCACCTCGGCGGCGAACTCCTCCCAGATCGGCTTGGCCACGGCCAGCAGCTCCGCCTTGAGCTCGGCGTCGGGCGCGCTCACGCTCATGCCGTTGTCCTTCAGGGTCTGGATGTTGGCCGCGTCCTCCCGCCGGCTGATCAGCCAGAACTCGCCCTCCAGCCGCTCGGCGGCGGCCTCGATCGCCTCCTGGTGCGCCGGCGCGAGCGCGTTCCAGGCGTCCAGGTTGACCGTCATGACGTTGGAGGAGGCCTGCCAGTTGAAGGTGCTCATGTGATCCATGAACTCCCAGAACTTGCCGTCGACCCCCGAGGAGGAGGAGGTGGTCACGCCGTCGATCGCGCCGGCCGCCAGGGCCGGGACCACCTCGCCCCAGGGAAGCTGGATCGGCGCGGCGCCGAGCCGGTCGAAGAAGCCGTGGCCGTTGGCGTCGACCACGCGGATCTTCAGCCCCTCCAAGTCCTCCATCTCGGTGATCTCGCGGTCGGCATAGACCGCCTGGCCGGGCCAGGGCACCATGTAGAGGAACTTCTGATTGTGCTTGGCGGCCAGGGCCTCGAAGGCCGGCCGCATGAACTTGTGCAGCAGGGCCAGGTCCTGGGAGGTCGGCGCCAGATAGGGCAGGGATTCGACGCCGAACAGCGGCTCCTCGCCGGTCTGCTGGTTCAGGATCACCTCGGCGATCGGCACCAGGCCGTCGCGCACGGCGGCCAGGCCCTCGGGGCCCTTGATCCCCAGGGCGCCGCCGGAGTGCACGGTGATCTCCACGGCGCCGTCGGTGACCTCGCCGACGGTCTCGGCGAAGCGCTTGGCGTTCTCGGTGTGGAAGTTGCCGTCCGGCCAGACGATCGACATGTCCCAGCTCGTTTGTGCCTGTGCCGTGGCGCTGGCGAGAAGGCCGGCACAGGCCAGGACCGGCAGCAGGCGGCGGGGCGACAGGGTTTTCGACATCATGAAGGACCTCCCGTGTTGGGGCCGCTGGTGCGGCTTGTTTGCATAAGGTCGGCGGCGCGATGGGCTGCGCTCTTCTCTCTTTGGGATACTCATGGTATACCAAGGATGGCAAGCACGCAATGTGGCCGCCGCCGCCCGGTCGCGACAGGGAACTCGCCGAGAAGCGCGGCGCGGCGCGCCGTCTGGCGTAGGATGGCGGAAGGCGCGGCGTCGGGCGTCGGGCGTCGGGCGTCGGGCGTCGGGCGTCGGGCGGCGGCGGGAGAGGTCTGCCGCGCCGCACGGCGCGACTTAGGCCGAACGAAGTGGGAGAGACCAAGTGGCCCGCACGATCGATCTCAACTGCGACATGGGCGAGGGCTGGGGCGTCTACGAGCTGGGCGACGACGCCGCGATGCTGGACATCGTCAGCACGGCGAACGTCGCCTGCGGCTTTCACGCCGGCGACCCCATGGTCATGCACCGCACCATGTCCTGGGCGCGCGAGCGCGGCGTCGCGGTCGGCGCGCATCCCAGCTTCATGGATCTCTGGGGCTTCGGCCGCCGGCCGCTGCACCACGAGGACCCCGAGGAGGTGGAACGCCACCTGATCTACCAGATCGGCGCCGCGGCGGCGATGGCGCGGGCGGTGGGCTGGCCGCTGGTCCACGTCAAGACCCACGGCTCGCTCGGCAACCAGGCGGCGGTCGACCCGGAGCTTGCGGCCGCCTGCGTGCGGGCGGTCCAGGCGGTCGACCCGGCCCTCACCTTCGTCACCCTGCCCTATTCCGAGACCTACAAGGCCGCCGAGGCGGCCGGGCTGCGGATCGCCTGCGAGGTCTTCGCCGACCGCACCTACGACGACGAGGGGCGGCTGACCTCGCGCAAGCTCCCCGGCGCCGTGATCCACGATGCCGCGCAGGCCGCCGAGCGCGTGCTGCAGATGATCGAGGAGGGCGTGCTGGTGACCAGCGGCGGCCGCCGCCTGCCGGTCCGCGCGGACACGGTCTGCGTGCATGGCGACACGCCCGGCGCGGTCGAGATGGCGCGCAAGATCCGCGACCGCCTGGAGCGCGCGGGCGTGTCGATTGCACCCTTCGCCGCCACCGGCTGAGCCCGCTCACGCCGGGACGGTCCGGCTCAGGCCTCGGGCGTCTCCCCGGCCGGCGCTTCGGCGACCGGGGCCTCGGCAGGCGGCGCCTTGGCGGCCCAGAAGACCTGGCGGCCGCAGTAGGGGCAGGCGACGCGGCCACGGGAATCGGGCACCAGGTAGATGCCGGGGTGGGCGCTGTCCGCCGGCGCGCCCTCGCAGTAGGCGGCGTCCGGGAGCAGCCGCAGGCCGCTGTCGGCGCCGTCCGCCAGCGCCGCCTGCACGCCCCCGGCCGTCCCACTCTCGGGCGTCCAGTCCTCGGGCGTGGCGAAGACCTCCACCCGACTCTCGGGCCGCAGGCGCAGGTGCAGACCGACCGGCAGCGCGGCCGGGCCCGGCACGACGCGGCGGGGCGTGCCGTCCTCGAGGCGGTAGGCCGGGTCGAGGTAGAGCTCGATCGGCTTTTCCCGGCTGATCCGCGCGCTGCTGTGGGCCAGCCGGCCGAGGTAGGGCGGCCCGGCCGCCTCGCCGTCTTGGACCAGCAGCCAGAGCACGAAGGGCCGGCCGGCGAAGTGGCGCCGGGCGGCGCTCGCCGGGTCCTCGAAGATCTCTGTCAGGGCGGTGGTCCAGACGTCGCGCTCCGGCGAAATGTCGGTGCGGCCGAGGGCGTAGAGCAGGGCGTGCAGATGCTTGACGTTGATCAGGCCGTAGCCCAGGCCGGCGAGCGTCGCGATGCCGTAGAGCAGGCCGAGGTAGGCGAAGCCCTCGGACAGGCGCAGGGTTGCGAGCTGGGCGGCGAGCTGGCTCCAGGTCAGCTCCAGGCCGAACTCGGCCTTGCTCCACGCGAAGATCGGCAGGGCGCCGGCGTTGGCCAGGACGCTGACGACCAGGCCGGAGGCGATGATGGCGGCGGCGCTGCGGGGCTCGGCCGGCGCGCCGGCGTCCCTGATGCGGCGCACCACGGCGGCGGCCAGCGCGGCGACGAAGCCCGGCAGAACCAGGAACAGGAGAACCCAGAAGGCTTCGAGTCCGACCTGCATGGTCCTCCCCCTCCCGCCGGCGCTTCCGGTCGGCGCCTTACCGGGGCGGCCAGCGGCGGCTGCCGCCGCCCTCGGCGCTGAGCGCCTCGGCCGTATCCTCGCTGTGTTCGGCGACCATGGCCTCGGTGGTGAT